TTGGGGCCACAAATATGCTATTTTTGGCTAACTTCCTCTGTAATTTTTGAACTTATTTGGTTCATTGGTTCCCCACTCAACCTATATACTGATTTGCACGTCAGAGGTATCACCGGAGAATCCAACTCCGATCTCTAACGTGCTTGTTTTGCAGCTCTCTTATCCTAAATGGGGGATCCGTTGTACAAGGAGATGAGGGAACCCATGTTTTCCGTATCTACTCTAAACTCCGTCACTAATTCGGAATTATCTTCTAATCTCGCTGCTGAGTCCCAGAACATCAACATAAGCTAAAGTCATTTGCCATACATCAGTTAATTATAAATGGTCACGTGGGGTAGGGTGTAAATTCTGAAAAAAAAATATCAAATACACTTCATTACATTAAATATAAATCAAATGAATGTCGGTCTTTGAGTCATTTGAATTCGAGAGTCAAATACAAAAAACGACATCTTTCAAATGCATATTGAGTATCATGGACGGTCATCACTTCTCTTCCTCCCCAGCAAATCCAACGGTCAGTATTCCTCAAGTTTCCACCAGCTCAATCGCCACTAGAAAACTTTGGGCCTCTATGGGCCGCACCGAAACGCTGCATTCCATCCAGCGTTCGGCCTACGGCAGCCGCCTCCTGTGGGCCATACCTTCTAGAACAAGCTCAGTTGGCACGTCATCATAATAACGTTCCTCCCTCTGGGCCCCACCAGTCTCCTCCGTCTCCCTCTAACCTCCTCCATATAAAAATAACCGACCCCTGTTTCATCCCTCTCCACTCACAGAATCCTCTCTCTCTCAAAATGTCTGCAACTGCTGTAAACTTCGCGGTTTTCGGATCATCTCCTTACTCCTCTCAAGCCCGACCCGCTAAGACCCGTGTCATGGCCTCAGGGGGCACCGCAGCTGAACGGAAAAAGAGCCCGTACGAAGTTCTGCGAGTCAAAGAAACCGCTACGATCACCGAAATCAAGTCGGCCTATCGGTCTCTAGCGAAGAGGTACCATCCTGACGTGAACCGGGTAGGAAATAATAACGGGTCGGAGTTTGTGGAGATCCAAGGGGCGTATGCGACGCTGTCGGATCCGGAGGCAAAAGCGAGGCACGACAGGACAGCTGTTGGGTCTGGACGGGTTGGGTCGTATTCGGGTTCGGGTTTTCGAGGGCCCAGCAGGAGGTGGGAGACTGATCAGTGCTGGTGATGAGTGAAATAGGAATGGCTGTGGGGGGCTCTTTCGTAATTTTTTCCCCTACCCCTTTTCGGGTTGAGGGAGTTAAATAGGATCTCCTCAACTTCGAAAGTTTTGAGTCGTGAATCTTGTAATTGTTAATATGAATGTAGATTCAGATGTCAAAATTCAGAAGGTGGTCTATTTTCTCAATCTGGTTTGTAGAAGGTTGTTATTAATTACGGAAAATTTTACAAATTAGAAAGATCTTTTAATTACATTTTTGGCACCGAAAATCGTGCAAGTTGACCAAGCCTTCACCGCCGCCGCCCCCAAAAAAAAAACCCCGGCGGTTGCAATGAATTGCTGAATGTTTTTAATTTTTAAAATTAGTTTGGATTCTCCCCAAAAGTATAAAGTCTGAATTAATGCGAAAGACCTCTCCTTTCTTTAATTTAGCTATTTTCCTGCAGTTAATTAAACATGTCATTAATAAAAAACTAAATCAGAATTAATATAAATAAATAAGCATGCTCTATTTGTTCGAGATCTAATTTAATTAGGGGCGGTATGGTTCCCTGCTTTTGAGGGAAAGACTTTCTTGAAAGCTTGTCAAAAATGTTACTTTTTAACAGGCTTTTAAGCAAATTCGTCTCTTTTAGAAGAGACGATTTTGCTGAAAGTCTGTCAAAGAAGTGACACTTTAGCAGGCTTCTAAGGGAAAAATTTTCTAACCAAACGGACCCTTAAGAGATGAAAATCGCTTTTTAAAAGGTTTCCACTTGGAGATTCTTTTCTTTCCCATGTATTCTTTTCCTGCACGGCATAGTGCTTCTTTTCTTTTGCCGGAGGACTTTTTGTTTTTTGTTTCTTCTTCTTTTCTTATAGAGTTTCTCTCCTGATGATTCATAAAATAAACTATGGATTGTTTTAGTTTTTAAAAGGATATATCATAATAAACTTTTTTTTATATATAATTATTTATTTAGCACAAAATTTGGTGTAGCCTCTTGAAATATTTTGATCTTCTAGAAGGAATGGGGGAAATTATATAGATCACATAAAAGATATGGAGGATTGATTTTTAAAATATTATTTAATTAAAGTTAAACTTATGAGAAAGTTAATCAAAATTTTAGATGACCAATAAACTAAACCATGTTTTTTTATACCCTTGTAGTAGTAGTATGTCTGTATGTGGGGCTGATCAAAAGAATATACAGTCAATATCTTCTAGAACTTGAATCAATGTGCTACATGCCATCCATCAGTGCTTTTGAGCCCTTAAATTATATATTATTTGGAAATCCAGTCCTCATACTAGTGGCATCCGTAACACGAACTAATCGTAACCACATCAAGGGCTTATTTTTGTTATTTTATGTGTTTTTTAAAGTGCTAACCTTGACTAGGTAATATAATATTTTGGTCGTATTCTATGAGTGGGTATCAGAACTAAATTATATAGTACATAGTTATGATTGCTTATAAGAAAATGCACACAGTTTTTTTTTTTGTCATTTTTTGTTATTTTATGTGCTAACCTTGACTAGATAATACTTTGGAAATATACAGTACCCTACAATTCTAGAAGTCGGTTACATATCCAATTTGTAAATAATAATTATTCCCACTCCCACAAGTCTACATCAATAATTGAGAGCTTGTCTCTTAGACTTCATGTGAGCATCCAAACTAATAGCGTGTTTGGTTATTCTTGAAAACTAGTCTGGGCTTGATCCCGATCCAATTTTTTCTTGTTTTGTAAAACAATACTAGATTTGGCTCATTTTTTTCAAGCCAAAAAATAGCCTTAAAACACCCTCTTTTCCAAACCTCATGTTATACCTTGAAAAATTATTATGTCATTAGACTGTACATGTGGCGTAAGTGATCGGACCAAGCAAATGATCGAACCAAATCGAGTTGTCAGCTTAATCGGCTCGTCTGTGCAACTCGGGTTCGAAACGAAAGGTTCCATCAAGTCAAGCCCCGAAGTAGCACCCGAGTCGAAGATCGTCTTCGAGGCAGGAACATAGAATGATTGGCGGTCCCATCAATAGTGTTTGCATTTATTTGTGAACAGTGTGAGCGCCCATACTCCGCCACCTAAGTGACCATCGTATTTTACATATGGCCAAGTATCATGATGGCTCTCCGAAAACGGCGCCTACAATCTTGTCATTCTATCGCCATCGCATTAATACTATGGGTACAGCTCTCTACCCCCGACCAATCCGCTGCGAACACGTGTAAAGCAATGACACAATGCCAGATTATCCAGCCAATTAAATTACCAGCATATCCTCAATAATCTCCTATAAATAGCATCATCTTGGTTATTCAAAGGGACGCACCAAAAAACCTAAGACTATATTCTATTTTCTCTCCAGATTAACAGACTAAGTCACTGACCTGAGCGTTGGAGAGCACGATGGATGAAACTACCTTTTGGCCTCTAACATTTGTTATTCTGTGCAGTTTATTGTAACACAACACAATCTTTAAGACAATCAGCCATCAGAGGAGATTAAGGGATCCCAAGACCGTCCTAACCTCTCCAAAACTATCCACTAACTTCCTCACGTAAACACCTCCCCTATAGAACAAAACCAAACAAGTTTTAATGACAAACTGATCCAAGCACTCCCTAAGTCTTGTACTAGTCTTCTAGTTAATTATTGTTGATAAAGTACTACATTTTTTAAAGATGCCCAATATTCTTCTCTCTCAAAATCATTGGTTTAGCATTTTTTTTTTTTTAAATTAGAGCACTCGGGATCTTTGTGTCCAAGATTGAAGTCGCCCCCGTAAAGAGAAAAACAACCCCGTTGGATTTGAGAAAGCTAGAGTGGTCCATATTAGTCTCATCACGTGCCTGAGAAGGGGGAAAAAATAAAACCAGGGCTTGGTGTGTAGGCTAAGGTCCCACCTTCTAGAACCTGATCACGTGCATCAAGCTCAACCCTTCAACTACTCTTTCACATTCTACTTGAGGTCTTCTAGAAGATCACCGAGCTTTGCTTGCCGCTTTCAAAAGGTAGCTATCGAAGGGAATCGTACAAACACACATTCATTAAGATGTAAGCACTATTATTTCATTGTTTGTTCTTTATATAGAAATCTTCTACAAATACTTCCAAATTAATGTTAGGTGGCTTTCAAAGATGGGAGTAAGCGATTAGTGTTCTTGGACCACATTGAGTGTAAGAATATAGATCACATATTGTAGAAGAGATGGTACAATATAGAGCCCCACATATATATATTTTTTTCCCCTCTCTAGAAGGGACATAGATCCTTTTGTATTTCACAGTTACAATTTACAATTGTCTTTTATTTAATGGATGATGATGGTTCATTTCTCCATTAACAATTATCGCTGTGGCTTGCACTTATTCATACTCTTTCAAGTCAGGGTGACTGGGAAAGTAGTTTTAGCACAAGAAACATGAAAGAGGTTGCCACATATTTACGAGGTTCACATGACAAAATACAATCAACAGAAGTTGAATAAAGTGACGATTAATGTGTTGGTGTTAGTGTTATGGAGAGCTAGATGTCGATTTAAAGTGCATCTCAATGGAACATACGGGTTTTGTCAACGAGTACATTTAATTAGGAGAGAAATAGAAAGGGTTTAGAGACATGAGAAAGAATTTGTGGGGTTCATACGTCTACAAAAATTTTCACCTCTCTTGTTAAAATGTAAAACAATAATTTTTAATCTTCATTGTAACTTTAGAGTTTTTGCGTAATGTTTAGAGGAATATCAGAATAAATCAAGTTCAATTCCAATCTGCTACAAATTTAAACTGAACTTTTTAAAAACTTAATATCATCATATTTCAACCTATAAAAAGACGTTCAACCTGTATCTGCATGTTAGAATATAAAATTACAACCATTAACACAACGTAACCTTAATATTTTACTCTTTTGATTAGAAGAACTTGAACCCCCCCTGAGCGAGGACTTGCGCATTGATTCAAATTTCCATTTACGGAAGTAATATACCGTCATTGAGCAATTCCAAATTATTTATAGAAGGAAATTTAATGCGTCCAGCAGTGTGAATCACAACTGACAGTCTAAACACAGTAATAATTTCCAAATAAAGAGCAAACTTAGCATTCCTCTAATTTCAGTCTTATATGGAAGCCACCTCACTCGATATGGCGATTCACTAGATCGTATAAAGAAAAAAAAAATAATAATAATAATAAGTCACTGGATTTTGAAAATTTTAAAGTGTCAAAATGTAATAGTAATATTCATTAACCACTATCAGAATTATAAGATAACCGTACCCAAAATTTTCAACCGACAAATTTTTTACAAGCAAATAATTTTCCTTTCCTTCTTTCATTAAAAATATCAAAAAAAAAAAAACACTAACATTAAGGAGATCCCATTAACTTCCGCAACCAATAACAAGAGAAGAAAATGAGGCGGGGAAAACATTTTTACAGAAACCCCCCCATAACAAACATTCCCGTTTCACCAGCACTGATCAGTTTCCCACCTCCTCCTTGGGACCCTAAAACCCGAACCCGGATAAGATCCGACCCGTCCAAACCCTACTGTCCTGTCGTACATCGCTTTTGCCTCCGGATCCGATAGAGTGGCGTACGCCGCTTGCATCTCCACAAACTCCGACCCGTTACCATTCCCGACCCGGTTCACATCCGGATGGTACCGTTTCGCTAGAGCCCGATAAGCCGCCTTGATTTCGGTGATCGAAGCGGTTTCCTTCACTCTCAGAACTTCGTACGGGCTCTTTTCCCTTTCAGCGACCGCGATCGCGCCCGCTAGGGCCATGATTCGGGTCCTAGCGGGTCGGGTCTGAGAGGAAGAAGGAAAGGATCCGAAACCCGCGAAGATTAGAGCGGTTGAAGTCATTTGAGATCGAGAGATCGAGAGAGAGAGAGAGACTGGGGACGCCGAAGCGAAGGAGGAGCCCCGTCCTTTTACATAGAGGAGGCAGAGAGAGGCTGTGGGCGCCTGCGGAAAAGCCGCAGCTGGAATCTGGAGGCAGGTGGGCCCAGGGGAATGAACGTTCCTGTGATGACGTGGAAGTGAGCTGGCACGAAGATTCTCAAGGTGCGGCCCACAGACGGAGATATGGGCCCAGCTATAAGAGCAAGTCCAGCAAGCTCCCAGTTGGGAGTCCTAGTCAGCAAGCTCTTAAGAGCTCTCAAGCATTTTAATATAAAAAATTATAAAAATAGGCCTTGGGAGCATCTCCTTATTTTATGGAGCTCCAATAAGCTCCTAGTTAGGAGCTCCAACAATATTAAAAAAAACTCCTCTTCTATTTTAATATTTTACCCATTACTTTTAATTATATTTAAACCTCTTGTATTTTATTTCTAACCGTGGATACGGTCTTCGAGGGAACGCACACGGTCTTCGAGGTAACCCGCGGCTTTCGAGGGAACACACACGGTCTTCGAGGTAACCCACGGTCTTCGAGGGAACGCACACGGTCTTCGAGTTAACTCGCGGTCTTCGAGGGAACGCACACGGTCTTCGAGTTAACTCGCGGTCTTCGAGGGAACGCACACGGTCTTCGAGGTAGCTCGCGGTCTTCGAGGTTGGGCACGAACTTTGAGGTATCGCAAACTTTGACCGTCAACCGACTGATTCCTATAAAATTCGATCCTTCTCACCTCAATCCATCGTCTCCCAGAACAAAATGTCTAGCTCATCTAGCTCTAGCGATGATGAAATGATGAAGACGTTCTTTCTTATGGGAGCTGCTGCCGTCGAGGAAGAAGTACAAGGGAAAGGTTCAACTTCAGTTCAACACAAAAGACGTACCGTGCTCCATCGATACCGACTGGAAGGCCACAATCGATTGTTCCAAGATTATTTTGCTGACACACCAACATATCCTCTTCATTATTTTCGTCGAAGATTCAGAATGTCGCGTTCGTTATTCCTTCGAATCCACGACGCTGTCGTCGAACATGACAAGTACTTCGTCCAAAAGAGGAATGGTGCTGGACAGTTAGGACTATCTAGCCTTCAAAAGATTACTGCAGCTATGCGGATGCTCGCATATGGAGCATCCGCTGACGCCGTTGACGACTACGTTCGGATCGGTAAAAGTACGTCGCTTGAGAGCGTGAAGAGGTTCGTTCGATCGATTATCAACATCTTTGGGGAGGAATACCTTCGTTCACCGACTAATGAAGACATTGCACGCCTGCTCGAGGAAGGTTCACAACGAGGTTTTCCTGGTATGCTTGGGAGCATCGACTGCATGCACTGGGTATGGAAGAACTGTCCAACCGCCTGGCAAGGTATGTATACTGGGCATTTTCATGAACCTACAATTATTTTGGATGCCGTAGCTAGCAAAGATCTTTGGATATGGCATGCATTCTTTGGACTGCCGGGGTCTCACAATGATCTCAATGTGCTACATCGTTCACCGGTTTTTGCACAACTTGCGGAGGGAAGGGCTTCACCGTGCAACTATACTGTTAATGGCCACGAGTACAATATGGGATACTATCTCGCCGACGGGATTTACCCAGAGTGGTCCACATTAGTGAAGACTATTCCAGCACCGCGAGGAAACAAGCATAAATACTTTGCTCAACAACAAGAGAGCGCAAGAAAAGATGTTGAGCGAGCTTTTGGCGTGTTGCAAGCTCGATTTGCGATTGTTCGTGGACCAGGACGTTTCTGGCAACCTAGTGTGCTGAAAGACATCATGACAGCTTGCATCATAATGCATAACATGATCGTTGAAGATGAACGAGATTGTCAATTGGACAACAACTTCGACTTTAATGATTCGATACCAGTCGTTGAACCTTCTCATGTGCAGACGGTGCCTCTAACTGAGTTCATCCAAAATCATCATCGGATCAGGAACACGCAAACACACAAATCACTAAAGAATGATTTGATCGAGCATCTGTGGCAGCTCAAGGGATCCATCGACGAGGATTAAGTTTCTTTATGTCTAATGTAATTTCAGCAAAGAAGTTCGAGTTGTTGTACTACGCCAATTTTCTTTTCAATGAAGTAGTTGTTTTCATTAAATGCCAAAATTTTCAACTTCAAGTAGAATCATAAATCTAATACAAGATAATTAGGAAGAACTAATTAGGATGCGATGCGAGTACAATCATAAATCTAATACAAGATAATATATGATAATTAGGAAGAACCCTTAGACATCCACCTCTCCAATATCTCTGCCTGACGCATTTCAAAGTATCGTCGTTGAACTGGATTAAGTGTTGAGAGATCCATCTTCATGATATCGTCATCTTGTTTCTTTTGTTTTAGCTCTATTTTTTGGTTTGTGGTCTCCTTCATCCACGCGAATGCCTCTCCCATGATGGACGTAGCGGATCCAGAGTTTTCCACATTTTTTTTCCTCTTGAGCTTTGCTGCTTTCCTCCCTTCAGGCCTTACTAACACATCATCCGTGTCGGTGTTCAACTCGATGGGGGTCGCTGGCATGGAATTGTTTGGTGAGGAATCAGAGTTTGTGGTTCTTCTCGGCTGTGATCGAATCTTATTGTAAGTTTCCATTTGTTGGATCCACTTTTGATGATGACGCAACTCAACCCAGCAATGATCAAACACGAATGGTTTACCATAAAGAGACTGGTATAATTCTTTTACTTCTGCAGTCTACACAAGAGTTAAATTTAGAATAATCAAACATAATTAAACATATATATATTCCTCTCTTCAATGCTATGTTGTTGACATAAAAACATATAAGTTAAATATTTACCTGGTCAATAATTCCCATACCAGATCTTTGTCTTCCTTCAATCTGAGCAACGCACCCGCAGAACTTGTTGACGGACAGTTGAATCGTTGACCAACGATGCATCATTTGGTTTGGTGTGCGGCTCGTTGGTTTGACAGAGTATTGGATAAAGTAGTTGTTAGCTCTGTGCCAAAACTTATCTTTGTGTTGCCCCGTACCTTGGATGGCGTCTTGGCTCGTGTTCAGCCTGTGCCAAAACTTATCTTTGTGTTGCCCCGTACCTTGGATGGCGTCTTGGCTCGTGTTCAGCCAAGCAAACACAAGAAGCTTATCCTCGTGGACAGTCCAATTTTCGGACCGCGTGTAAGCCTTCTTCTTCTTTGTGGTCGGTGTTTCTTGGGATGACACTTGTTGTGTTGCTGATTGCGAGAACTCGATGGGGTTACCTTCTTCTACAACTTCTGTATAGAACGACGGGTATAAGGTCGATGAATCACCGGTAAGAAGATGCGAATAATAGTTTTGTGAGGGATCCATGAGATTTGTAATTTGATAGGGAAATATAGAGTTTTTTTTATGAGAGAGTTGTGTGAAATGATTTTTGTGTTGAAGTGAAATGAATTTATAGATGTTTTTTTTACTGTTCTTGCTATTTTTTTAATCCCAACAGCTAAATTTTTAACGGCTGGATTTTTCATCAGTCTTCAACGGTTCAATTTCAGCAAAGAAACTTTGATCAACATCATCTTCAACGGTGCATTTTCCCCTGTTCAACGGTGCATTTTCCCCTGTGCAACGGTAAATTCTCGCTCAGCTCAACCTCATCAACATTTTCACCTAAAAATTCGCAGCCAATAAAAAAAATAAATCCAAAAACCCCTCTTCATCTCAACTTCGACAGACCCACACCCCACCCCCTTCGTCCAAACTTAACCCCAACCCCACCCCTTCGACAGACCCAACCCCAACCCCAAATCCTCTCCATCGACGGCGGCGACGGCGTCGGCTTGCGGAGGCCAGTCGTCGAACTCTTCGCCACCATCATCTCCGCTCCGAACCAGACCCAAGCCACCCACCCAGTCTCCGCTCCGAACGCCAGCATCTCTCAACGGAAACGCCACGCTTCACCGAAGTTTGGAGGGGGGTTTTTTGTAAAATCTTCCCAGTTCGGAGCTCGGAAGCGCTCCACAAATTTGTGGAGCGCTTGGGAGCTCCGATCTTCTCCACTGCCACGTCGGCCCAAGGAGAGGGGCTTGGGAGTCCTTCAGAGCTTGCTGGAGGGGGGATTGGCAACATCCAGCGCCACGTCGGCCTTGAGAGCGGAGATCAGAGCTTGCTGGACTTGCTCTAAGAAGGCAGTGGGTAGAGGGGGTGATCAACCGTTAAATCGGATCCAATATCAAGATGTTTACATGCGTATTTGTTAAAGTAAAAATTCTTTAAGGACCCAAAATATGGGACCAATAGGAGGGATAAGTGAGGTGTCCCCCTCCTATTGGATAATGAGTTGGCCATCATTAATGATGACCAACTTATTATTCAATAGAAGAGGGACACCTTACTTGTCCCTTTTATTGGTCCTATATTTTGGGTCCCTGTAGCAAAGCTCATAAACGACAACAAATTAGATAAAACCTTGCTCAATTTTTTTGTTTGGTCTCCCGCAGAAGTCAGAACCACAAGAAATGAAGACGTCAGTGGAAGCTAACGCCGGAACTGCAAGCAAGTTAATGAGCGTTTGAAGCCGTAGCCTTTGAAAATAGCACCAAACCAAATCATTAGAATCCAGGCACTTATTCTATTTCAATATTATTTCTTTTTTTTTTAATTCATCCTTTTTCCGTTCTGTGGGTGGACCCACTGGTCGCGAAACTATTCCTAGAAAAAACCCAACCACTCTTCTTTCTTCTCCATCAATCAAATTTATTGCTTCACAAAACTCCTTCAATAAATGTCATGCAACTTCTACTCTAATTCCGTTTGGTTGGGCTCTAGGGTCCGTTTGGTTGGGTGAAATGAAGGGGGAAGCCACTGTAGAGCTGTTATTTTTGAGACAGTTTTACAACAAAATCCGCTTTTAAGGGGCTCGTTTGGGTTCGCTTTTTTAGGCCTGGCTAACAAGTAGGGGAACGCTCGTCAAAACATATCCAGCTTTTTTGACAGCTATCCCCCAAAATCACCCCTTAAAAATGTGATTTTGGGGGAAAGCTGCCAAAAAACTGACATTTTTTGCAGCTTTCTCCTCTTTTATCACCCAAAAAAAACCTATCCAAACAGCCCCTTAAAGAGGCGATTTTGCTGTAAAGCTTCCAAAAGTGTCAGCTTTTGGGACACTTTTGACAGATCTACAGTGGCTTTCCATCTTAAAATTGCCCAACCAAACGGGCCCTAAGCATTAGCGGATTCGGGTCCTTCTCTCCTCCTTCACGATCCATTAACGCCACCCGCTAAGCCTCATCTCTGAGGATCTCAGCCACTGTCGTCAGCACTTCGGCAGAGAGAAACAAGAAGAGTCTTTGGAGGGTTTCTCTGTAAATATGTTTCAACTTTCGACTGCTTTTTCGAGAAGAAGGGGGGAAATAGTATTTGGACTGCTGTAAAATGTTAATACAGAAATTTTTCGAAGTGCATATTTGTGTACTGGTAATGGTAATATCTCTCTAGATGTGGGTTATTCCTCAGTTTATGTTGAGAAACAAAATATTAAGAGATTATACAGAATCCTCAAGATAAAACTTTTGGAATTTAAGAAGAAGTTATCCTTCTTCTCATTGTGATCGACCATTATGGACAGTGTCCGTAGGCTGTTGTTTATAATTTTTCCTTTGCTGTTTGTTTATGATTTTTGCCTTTACTTTCTCTGTTTCATTTAAAGGAAAGTTGTCTGGCAGAAGTCCTTCTTAGTTACATTAAATTTTCAATCCTAAATTAAGTAGAAAGAAAGGATTATTTGCAATTTATCGTTCTTGATTGCCAACTAAAAAAATGATAACCGCTAATAACTAATTTAAGTGTTGGGCGCAGAGTCACGTCCACCGCCGCGGAAACGATATCACCTGAGAGATAGCCCTGGCTTTTGTTGTCACAAAAGCACAAGTCAACCTCTATATTCTTATTTCTCAAAGAAAACTAGAATAGATAGTGAAATTCTTATTTCTCAAAGGAAACAAGAATCGAGTGAAATATGCACTCTTCCTCTCATCAGTTCTAGAACTGAAATGTCGAGGGAACCTACAAGCAATAGCCAACACCCAGAAAACAGTAAATACACGAGATTTACGTGGTTCGGCAAACTTGCCTACATCCACGGGAGGGGATGAGGGGAGATTCCACTATGAGAAGAACACCGACGACTTGTACAATCCACAAGCTCGTCTCAAAGAAAAAGATCTAATTATTACCCAAAAGAAAATTGACCTCTCTTTTGTAAACCTCTCTTTTTCTCTCCTCAAGATCTCTCTTTTAGATCTGAAAAAAAAACTCTCTTTTTTCTTCTAAAAAACCCTAAAAAACAGCCGCAGATACTCTTTCTTCTATTTTCTTTTTCTTCTGACCCGCTGCTTTTCCCGTGAGTCAGAAAAAAAAACCCTAGCATTAGGTATTTAAAGGAAGAAGCGGGTGGGCCTGCTGCTCTTGAGCTCCGTGCACTTGATGCACCCGAGAAACCTACTCACGTTCACAATTCTCCACCTCGTACATCATTTGATGAACCTTAAATTTTGGACGAACACCAGAAGAACACCGTGAACATCACCAGAGATATGAAATCGGCCAAACCAGGCCAAACCAGTTATGCCACTTTACCGCGGCTGCCTACGTACCCTCCATCGGGATCAAGCTAACCGTAGTTCTGCAATTGTTCTCCGTATAGTCTCCACCTCACCCCATCACCGCCCCGAAGGGCCATGCCCTCTTGGGCAAATCAACACGGGCTGATATGAAGCAAGTCCAAGCAATGCTTAAACTTGTTACTTGTGACCACCTTGGTTAACACGCCTTGATACACAAGAATCTGATTAAAAATGGAACAAAAGAAGGAATAGAATGCTCAAGTTCATTCTTACACTGGGGTGCAAAAGGATTATGCAAATCTTTTTAAATCTGAAATGAGTAATTAATAAATAAATTGAAAATATTTGGTATATATTTTAAAATTTTCATTCCCACTTAGGGCCCGTTTGTTTGCACGAAAGTAATTATGAAGTAGCTGAAGTAAAAGAAGTAAAGGCTACTTCTGTTATTTCCAAGCAAAAAAACATGTTTGGTTCTTTGAAAAACTTACTTCCATTATTTTCTTAAATGCTTATGTGGCGCTTACGTGTCATCCTTACTTCCAAAATAGTTTTTCAATCCTTAATACTCAGAAGTAGCTCGGAAGTAGTTGAAATGCATATTAATTAGGAAATAAATAACTTTTTTTATTAATATTTCCTTTATCGGTTACTTCTAACAGATTTCCATTGATAAAATTACTTCCTAGTAATATTTCCAAATGTTATCCAAACAAAAAAAGTAAATGAAGAAGAATAAGTTCTACTTCCATTACTTCTAAAAATATACGAAACAAACAAAAAAAGTGCTATTTCCACTACTTCATACTTCATAGTTTTGAAAGTTACTTTTATAACATATTTCTTACTTCTAATACTTTCATTATCCAAACGGGGCCTTAAGCGGGAATATCCATTTAGATAACGGGAATGGATATTCTAGCTTCCAAAAGGATAATATGTTTGATATGCATATATGAGAAGTATGGGCATTTTATTTTCACTCATTCATCCACACCAAATGAGGAACTAAGAGCATAGACAAAAGAAGTTACTTGCACTTTAATCTTCATATTTAGCGTAAATTGCAGATTAACCGCCTTCAACCCCCAGAAAGAGGAGAGGTTTCCTCCCAAGGCAATTGTAGCATAAATAAAATTTCCATTTGTATATGGAACACGAAAATGAAGATGGAAAAACATAGGACGCAGCAAATGTACCAGCAACAAAATATATACATTTGTAGCTCATCAAGCATCAATATTCTTACAACATGGATATGCGCATAGATCAAAGTTGGGAAGGACAATCAACAAAACTGCACTGCAATACAAATCAGCAGCAAATTCAAAGTCCATCGAATCTACTTACATGCCGTAATATTTGTCAAAACGATAAGAACCACAATGAAACAAGAACAAAACGATTGCAATAAAGTCCAAGTGCCATCTTCGATTCCAAATTTACAGTCGTCATGCCTCCTTTTTCTTTTTTCTTCATTTTCTCTGTACAAAAGCATTGACAACAGAGTCCCAAAACTTCATTTACAGCTCATGAGTACAGAATTAATGACATGCATTATAAGACGAATACTGCTAGCTTCAGATGCTGTAATTGTCGGAAGAGATCTCTGGTGAGCTAATATATTGTAAACTTGCTCAAATATCGGACGAACATGCGGAGCAATCATTGGGTCTGTGGGATTAATGGCGACGGCTACATCAGTCATCCATCCTAACTTTCTTGTCATCTCCTTACTAATATCACAGGCCAGCTGTTGCAAGAGAGCTAACAGAACTCCCTGGTTTAAAGGGAGCGGAACCATGGTGCAAATTGAATGCAAATCCACCTGAAATCCAAGAAAATAGCAAGCTTGTTTAATGGTATTCTTGGTTTTGTTAGATTTAAGTTATAAGAAAACCTGTACCTTAGAACATAGCCAGGACACAATAGAGACATCACTTCTGTGGAGAGCCATTGTGAATGCTTCTCCGAATTTGCATTCTGATATCAATCTTGATAGTTCCTTTGTTGGATCCAAAGGTGCTTCGATTTGTTGAAGTGACAAAGGCCGCTGAAATTTTAGTTCAATCGTTAGGTCCAAGGACACCAAGTCGAAGAGGTTGTATTTGAAAACCGGAGAACTCAAAAGTCAAGTTTACTCTCGCCAACTCTTGGCAAATGGTAAAAAATATAAGAACATCCAGTGCCTCCAACCAAAACTACCTATGTTTGTCATTACTCCCACAGTAACCTCTCTCTCTCTTTCTCTCTCTCTCTCTCTCTCTCTCTCTCTCTCTCTCTCTCTCTCTCTCTCTCTCTCTCTATATATATATATATATATATATATATGACATATTTATTTTTTTTGTATTTTCATAATAAAATTTCATTTTATGTGGCAAAAAAATATCAATTCGATGTTACAAATTTGTTCAAAACCAAAAAGATATCAACTGTTCAAAGGAACTCTCTTCCAAATAATTAGCAAGATATCTGTTAGGGCAAGTTCTCAATCGATAGGATGAAATATTCTCTTCTCGAACTAAAAAATTTGACATAAATACATTAGTTGCTAATTCCTTCACGGATACATTCAATGTATAGACACTTTAGAATTAAACAACTGAAATAAATAAAGGAGGAATCAGAAGAATTATGGAGAATATATCTCATTACAACGTCTCATAAACTTGATGAGAGTTTTGCAATTCATCTCATTTTAGTTAATATTTTATCTTTTTAATTTTTCCATATATATTCACATAGAATCACAAATTCTATCTTTTTTTGTTCAAAATTTGTCATTGATACTATAATCTTCCATCGTTGTATGTCCAACTTCATTCTAAATCATGGCTCCTACCTCATAGGCTCGTCATCCATAAAGTACTCATCTTGACAAAAGAAGAGATATTACTATTTTTTAGGAAATTAATGATGCCAAAAAAATTAAGAAAACGCTAACAAAGACATTAATAAGGTATCTAGAACTCAGTACAAGGATTCTTTAATGTTTATGTTAGGATATTAAAATGGATAGGAATAAAGTCAGCAAAATTTTAAGTATATACAAAATTGTCAAGTCTTTTCATATTAAGTTATTTGATGATTTCAATATGCTTCATTAATGTTTAAAAAGGGCTCTGATGAACATATACCAAGAATAATCAATTATTAAAATGAAAATTTTAAGAAGAAATTTCATAAGTCAAGTTTGTACCGAGTTAAGATGGAAATATGATGTATAACGCACATATTTATTCTAACTAATCATGAGAGAGCAGAAAGTTAGAACATCATCATAATTATTTTTAGTCCTATATGCATCGCACGTAGAGCTGTGTGACCAACATCTCACAATTGATTAGTATCTAAACATCATTATACAATAAGACACTAAAAATCATCTTCAATTATAATATATTTTTTATAATAACATTATTTTATTATGTATGCTTTACATTATAAATGTGCCCTTCTCTTTTGTAGTAAGATTGAGAAATATAAAAATGCTTATTTATAATATATTGTTTCCAAATTGAGTTACATATTTTTATAATAACATTATATTTCTATATTTAGTACTTCGGGGCACATGATGCATGCATAACGAAAAAATGTGAGGGCATTTTGGAATGGTGCTTGCGAGAGTGGGAGCATTTGTGTCGATTCTTAAGTGTTAAGACATTTTAGTTACTTTTTGCAAGTGTGAATGCGTTTCTTTTGATTTTTTGAAGTGCGATGGTATTTTGTATATATATATATATATCATACTCGCTTTAAAAGTACGAGTTCGGAAAAATCTTTTAATAGACAAAAATACCCTTGAAATTCAAATACAAATCCTCTAAGTAAGAGTAAGTTGATAAATTGGAATATAAACATAGTATGAAGATATATATAGTATGAACATAATAATATGCATAGTTATTTTAAATTACAAGAATATACATAGTATGAAGATATACATTTAAGTAAGAGTAAGTTGATAAATTGATAAATTCTTATTGGATATACATAGTATGAAGATAAAAATAAAGTTTAAATTAAAATATAAACATGAATAAAATTATTAAATGCCAAATTTATAAATGTATGCAAGATGAATGACATATATGTAAAAACCAAACAAATTAGTGAGACAAATAATGTTCGCACCAGAGGCTGAACTCCCAAACAATACAAACCTACAAATGCACATACTGTGGACGGGGTATTTGCAAAATCCACCAAACAAATTAAATAGATAAAATCTTTCTGAAATTTATAAAAAAGAAAAATTAAAACAAACGGCTGCGACATGAGGACACATCATGGTGATCTCTCACCAACTAAAATTCAAGTAGTTCGCAACACTGCATAATTAGTTTCAAATTTTAATTATACAATTATTATTTAAATAGAACTATATTTACAATTGTTATCCTCTCACATGCAACATCACATACCAATGTTTAATTATTATTTAAATAGAACTATATTTACAATTGTTATCCTCTCACATGCAACATCACATACCAATGTTTATAAGCCAAGAAACTACTTGTTATCCTCTCACATGCAACATCACATACCAATGTTTATAAGCCAAGAAACTACAATAATTTTCGTAACACTTTCATCTTCTTCTACATGTATATGCATTTGTTATTTTCTTCTTATTAGGTTAGATTAGATTATTTTAAAGTAATTAATTATATTGTATATTTGATTTTTTTCATATTAAGAAATATCAACAATTTTCACAGCACTTTCATCTATTTTTCCTTATTAGATTAGATTAGATTATTTTAAAGCAATTAATTATAGTGTATGTTTGATTTTTTTTCAGATCAGAAATTATAACAATTTTTATAGCATTTTCATCTCTTTCAACAGATATGTGTCTTTGCTATTTTCTTCTTATTAGATTAGATTAGATTGTTTAAAATTTATGAATTATGAAATTACAATAATTCACATCATTTTCATCTATTTTCTTCTTATTAGACCAGATTAAATTTTTTTAAAGCAATTACTTATATTGTATGTTTAATTTTTTTCAGATCACAAAGTTTAATTATACTATTATTATTTAAATAGATATTGTTTGTATAAAAATCAAAGAGAATCTCACACATATCTTAGGTATCAATGCCAATTGTAATATTTATACATGTGTGTTGGTTAAAAAAAATTCATGTATGGGCTTAGATAATTTAATTTTTTAACACACAAACTCTTCTACAAAACCAAAAGAGTAGCAATGCTATAGGTATATATATCCACAGGACCACAGATATCTTAAAAATGAACGAAAAAAACCACACAAATAAAAACTATATTAATTACCCACACGCACTCACTATTTTCAAAACCACCCTTCTCCATCTCCATCTATTATATATCCACATACCAAATTAAACTGCTGGAGTTTTCCCTTACCAACTACACCATTGATTAACTCTCATTTTTCCTTCGTACTTAAATTGTATAACATTCATTGCGATGAGGACTCACATGGGTCCTCTACCTGCCTTGAACATCCAACAAAAAAAATAATGCACTAAGCATTGTAGTTAATTAATAATGAGATCCTATCATTATAAACAAACTAAGTAAATATTAATAATTCTTAAGAATGTACTATGTTCCTCTAATTTTCACTGCAAACTTGTTAGTTGTTTATTCCTGACCCCAAGAAATTTTCAAAATTAATCATCTATTTCATAATTTTTTTTTAAATGTTTAAATAAAACTTATGGCAAATGTAATAATCAATGTTTATAGATTTCAACTCAAAATGAATTCGATTTATTTTATAGTAAGAAAATAAAAAAATAATTTTAATATTTAACCACGTCCATTACACGTGCATAAGAACTAGTGTGTGTGTATATATATTCATTATTCTTCACCAGATAAATTATTGGTCCTCACCAAATTAACCACAGATGAAAAGAAAAAACACAACAATCATAATATTTGTTTGCATGCATGAATATGTGATGAAACCAATCTAATCATGGAAACCATTGCCTTCAGCTTTCACAGTTAACACCAACCACCTGCTCTTTCACTTAAACCTCGACAGGCACAGTTGATGACCTTTTATCCTCCATCATGCCACCTCCAATACACCTTCACACACAGCTGAACCAACCACTTGCCCCATGACATCCACCAAAACCCCATCAGGCACCGCTGATGACCTTTTATCCTCCATCATGCCACCTCCAATACACCTCCACACACAGCTGAACCAACCACTTGCCCCATGACATCCACCAAAACCCCATCGTTGCCTTCACCGAACCCACGTTGTCTGCCTCCTTCTACCTACCTCCAACACCACTGGGTTCAGATTCAACTCCTATTCCTTCACAAGCATCACTTTATCCACCGCCTCTATCAAATCCCCCACCACCACCACTGTCTACGCCCTTATTTCTTGCCTAATGTTGTTGCATCACTAAAGCAAATTAAGGAGGGCAGCAAGGGTGAAAGAAGAAAGTATATAGTCATTTTAATGCTAATTTGAAGTGAGTTTCATTGTGAGTCAGGGGTAGGGCTAAGGGGTTATATAGGGCATGAGGGTTTTGTGATTAATTGTAGCATTTAATTTTTGTTAAGACTGCCAAGTACAGTTACTATACTATTGATGATTGATCGGTATCAGGTTCTGGATATTACAAAATAGAGTGCCAAACATGTGCTAGAGAGATAAAAAGTTAAGAAATTACTTGAATATTTATTTCAATGAGCTATCATATAGATTTAGATTTGTAATAAGTTCCCAATTTTAGATTTATTAGGTGGAATGCACGTGCACTACGCTTTTGGTCAAATCTTTATTTACTTACTATAACATGGTCCAAAAAAATTTATGATTATGCTAACATATTAAAAAGTTTTGGATATTTTCCTGTATAATATCTTGTTGGTTTTAACATTTTGCCTTCCGCAGAAAAATGTCTTAAAATATTAACGACTTAAGAGCAATTTAATGACTTGAATATCTAATTTCAAAATATTAAAGATGTAAGGGACCAATATAAACAAAACTATTATTATTAATGATAAAAATAAAATTATTGAATTCATCAAAGTAAAATAGCAGGTTTTATCCGGTCATATAGGATTTTGTTTAACTATAAAGAAATCACTTTCACATGTTGTTTGTTTCCACATATTGTTTATCCGGCGACCAAGTTTTATAGATATTCAAAAACTTTTTTCTAGAATTTTCTTTGTCAGAATGTGCAAATTCAATCAAGAAAGAAAACATAAATTATATGATCAATTCCAAAATATGATATTGTAGTCTTTCTACATCTTCCTAACCAATTAATTGATTTGTCAAAACGATTACTATTTAGTTTTAAAATATTATAAAATATAATATGAGAATGATTTATACATATTATGCGCTATGGATTGTATTTTAACAAATAATTCAGATCTATCCAATGTTAAAAAAACATCCAAAATTTTGGGTTAAGGAGTTAGAAGAATCCAGTATCCGCAACAATACTCATATCCAAGCTATGTGTTTCATGAACTTATAAGAAAGTGAGAAATATAAAATAAACAATTTAATTTATTTTATCAAATAGTTTATTACAAATCATGAAAGACAAGGGGAATCAGAAGGAACATATACCCTTCGCAAATAAAGATTAAATTTCTCTTAGAGATTTTTGTAGCAAAAGATTTTCAGAGTTGATGTATAGGATAAATCTTAGGGTACATAATCCAAATGAGTTCATGGAGTGATATACTTGCTATAAAATTTACTTTTATAATATTGATATTACATGTGTCTTAAGTTGCACTTTGTTTAAGGGTTAATTTTAAAAAGCTCCCTCTCAACTATGGGGGGCAATGTCAAAAAAAAAACCCTCAGCTATTTTTTTGGATACGAGGGAAACCTGATAAAGCAAAAGGATCCTCAAGCCAAGGCCTGAGTTCGAGCCTCCCACTCTTACCAGTAAACCCTAGGTGAACCGGCCCCCCTACCCCATCCAGTCACCAGGTTAGTAGGACACTTAAGAGTCATGGGTGGCAAACCTCAAACATGGACCTTTGGCCATGAAAATTGCTAACTTAAAACTGGATAAATCTTCGTCAAACTTGGGGTCTTGTAGATGATCTATCTCAACTTCAAATTTTTAATTTAAGCCCTATAAACTTTTCTCACTTAACCACTCAAAACTAATATCATTGAGTCTAATTTATTATGACAAGTATTTGACTTGGAAAGACCAAAATATCCCTCAACCATAAAAGAATTAGCTTGGTTTTTGTTAAATTAAAGAAAAAGAGGAAATATAGAGGGAAAAAGAATTATAAATCGGTCATGATCCTTTTATTATCGATTGAGAGTTTTTTTTTAACTAAAATAGCTTTCTTCAATAGGTATTTTCTCAAAATCACATATTCAAGTAATACATTAAGGGGTTTTGTTGAGAGAAGTGTAAAAGATCAGGGGATTTTTTATGAGACATGGTATAGTCGAGGGGTGTTTTCTAAAATCGCACCAAAGTTAAGAGGGTTTATCTACAACACCGTTATAGTTAGGGTGTTTTGTCAAATTAAATCAATTGAGTGGGCTTTTTTGAGACAATCCCCGTAGTACAGAGAATTCTAAAAAAACACTTTCAAATGTGGCTTGTTTATATTTTTGTCCTTCAAATTTCTAATAATTCAATATTAGTCCCTTAAATTGTAAGCAATTTCAAAATTTTTGAGGGAATAATTTAGAATTATTGGAGATCTAAAATCAAGGAACTTACATCTAAATTATCTTTAAATGTTGCTCTTATAAGCAATGTATTAAATATCAGTCGGTATATGTTGTTATATCGACCGATATATCAGGTTAAAGACCTTACTCAATAATATTTATGGTTTTGTGTTGTTTTCTTTTATTTGGGGATTTTTTCTAATATATTGATTGTTATCAAAAATATTGGCCAATACATCCCTTTAAAGATATCAACAAAATTGAGTCGTTTTTAATTTGATTATGGGCTAGGGTTTGGGTCATGTTTGGAAACCAAAACCAAAACCACAAAAGTCACAATTCGTCTCCCAGATCTCTCCACTCTCAGCTCTCCTAAATTTTAAGCATACATTTTCGTGCAAATTCTTACGTTTAAAATTCATTAATATGTTAGATTATAACTTACTATGTTATATTATGTATGAATATTATCTCATCTGACACCCGATATTTTTTTACATATCCTCGATTTCTGCAATCTGATATCATAAATTTTAGTATCGAATATTTATCTGATACCCAACACTTCGTAATAGTCCTGCGAAAGCCTCTTCTAAAGTTTTCTAAGGTAAGTATATAATTTCAAGAAATAATTCAAAATCTTGAGACTTATTTAAAAAATGATGCTTTAATAAGATCACATATTATTATTTGTGGTTAACAAAGGTTTTAAATCTTTATAGACTTAATTTTACTTAAATACCTTATAGTTTATGAAAGTTATATACCTCCACCTGTATCTTGTTGCACTTAAACATCCTAATATTTTCTAAAATTGCATCTTTGTACCTACTGTCTTGTTGCCTAAACGCAAGAATACACTTTGTAATTTTCCTATATGAGTGTCATGGTATAATTCTAGGACAATTCTATATTTTTTTACTCTTTCCATAAATAATTACTAAACATGCAATTGTCTACTAATATATTATTATACATTAGTAATAATTAATATGATGTAAGAGTTTTAACAATAACACTGAAAGGTTTAGTGACCAAGTTAGACAAACTTGTGATTAATTTATAGTACAAAAGTTATACACCTCCACTTGTAGTCTTGTATCTTGTTGCACTTAAATATCCTAATATTTTCTAAAATTGCATGTTTGTTCCTTCTGTCCTGTAACCTAAACGCAATAATACACCTCCACTTGTCTACTAATATATTATTATACATTAGTAATAATTAATATGATGTAGAGTTTAATAATAACACTGAAAGATTTAGTGACCAAGTTAGATAAACTTATGATTAATTTATAGTACGAAAGTTATACACCTCCGCTAGTATCTTACTGCACTTAAATATCCTAATATTTTCTAAAATTGCATGTTTGTACCTTCTGTCCTATAACCTAAACGCAAAAATACACTTTGTAATTTTCCTACATGAGTGTCATGATACAATTTTAGAACAATTCTATGGTTTCTACTCTTTCCATAAGTAATTTATTAACATGCAATTGCTTATTAATATATTATTATACATTAGTAATAATTAATATGATGTAGAGTTTTACAATAACATTGTAAGTTTTAGGGATCAAGTTAGACAAACTTGAAGTGACATATAATATAATTAATTAAAAATAATAATTAATTTAGTTTAGTTCACTGTTTTAAATATCGGCCGATAATCGATATTATCGGCCGAGTTATCGGATTTGGGAGCTCTCCGATAGGATAACTTGGATTTTTAATCGGTTATCGTTTTTGGCAAGTTATCGGGGAGTTATCGGCGTTATCGGTACTTATCGGCCGATAAGTAAGGTTTTTTTATCGGGATTATTGGCCGATAAGTAAGGCTATGCAATCGAATGGTTTCATCGTGCGGTCAAGATGCAAGTTTTGCTTTCTACAATTGGTTAATGATTCTAAACATGATGATTTACATTTTGGTATGTTTATATTTCATTAAGCATGGTTAGATTATATTTTTTAGTTATTGTATTATATATATACACCATCTAGTATATCACTCCGATAAATACTACTTATCCCCGATATATCCCCGATTTCCGCTATCCGATAAGGATTTTGGCCGTCCGATAAATTCCCGATAACCGATATTTAAAACCTTGGTTTAGTTAGGATTAGAATGTAATATCAAAAAAATAAGGACAATATAGTCCATAGAAAGTTTTAACTTTTATTTCTTGCCAATTGTATAGGATATCTCTAAGATAAACAATGTTTAGTGCCTAGTGGGAAAAAGTTATTTGAGTTCTGCAAATAAAAGATGGATTACATATGAAAGGGAAATATTAGCATCTCCATAAATGAAAGCAGAAAATCAAGAAAATATTACCATCGCTGGAAGCCCAGTCACAGAGCCATTGCTTTGCTGAACTGCCATAGGATTCAATCCGTTTGTGCTCCCTGCGACAAGAGATAAGATCTTGCGTTGACCATCAGCTAATTCGCTGGTGAGATTATGGGTGACTGATGATGCCGAATTGATTGCATCCTGTAAAAAGAAAAGGCAACCAACAAATTTCAGAACATCTGGGCAAATACAATGCATCGTGATACAATAGGCAGGGATACAAATACTTTACTACAGCCAATATCTCAAAACAAATTTCAGAGTTGCGTCAGCAATTTCGTGTAGGTTTAACTAACTTAATGGAATTTGGACATTAGGATCAAGCCGGAAATTAAACAGCTAAGAATGAGTCAAGCATCCATAACCATACATTCATAACAATTAAGTTTCATAATGAAACTATTATTATGTTCTGCATGGTAATAAACAAAACTCATCTTTTAGCCTCCACAGAGAATAGGAATGTAAGAAGGGGCAGAAAAGGCTAGAAAAAAAAGAAACAATAAACGGTTTGTCAAATTATACGACCTATCTGTGACCTAGCCATTGTGCAACAGTGAAATGATTACTCACTGGCAGTTGAGAAACATAAGCGGCCTGGTGCACACATATCACACGTGAGATGGAACCAGTGACTCACTAACTGGTTAAGACAGGTAGGGACTAGCCTACGACGGAAAGTAAAATGTTACTAAACCCAGCTGCAGGTCTCGCATTTTTGAAAATGAAGGGATCCTACCATATATTCACGAGTATAAACTAAAATCCTTCATGTGTTGCTTCGCAAGTTTTAGCAGCTTCAATAGGATTTTTGAAATATATGAATTATCATCAACAGAAACTACCATCTATCAATTCCTGGTATTGACATTTCCATGTTCACCTTTGTCACTTGTATGCTACTAACATATAGGGCTGCAATTAACTACCAGCTACTTCATGACAGATTCTTTTTCGATTCTACAGTTTTCCCAGAATTTCTTGTACAATCACAGGACAAAGCAAAGCCATATCACCCTTTCAGAACGCAAAGATAGATATATTAAACATTAATAGTAATGCTGTGATAGATAATTCAAATATCATATCTCAGAGGCTTCCAATCAGGCATTAAGGACTGTGTACCTACATACCCTCAAAGTAATCGCAAGAGGAGTGTGTGTGGACTCAAATTTCTGTTGAGCAGCAGCAGTGTGTTCATTCATTCCTTTCTGAAAGACCATATCTACTTGCTCAAACATTGCTTTGCAAGATTGTTCAAATGCAGGAATCATGGATGACTCTAAGCCAGACCTGAGAGCCTCCTGCATATGCTAAGCTATATTAGTCTACTAAATAGTGAACCATATAGCATAATTATCGTAAGTGCAAAAGATTTTATCCATCAACAATTATCACCTAGAAGATAAATTTGGCATTTTAAAAGGGGAAAGAACAATGCTTTACTCATTAAAGTTATACCTGAAGAGCATGCTTTCCAGACGTTTGGAATTGCGCTTGAATCTGCCTAGATACAGTAGCTTCAAGTTTGGAATTGATGGACTTCTCCAGCTGAACAACTGCCTTGTCCGCAACACCTCTCTGCAATTAAAGACATGAGAAAACAGATAGGAAAAATGAACTTCCGGGTGAAAGGAAAACTGTGCAAAGAGTAAAACCTGGAAAGAGTCAGCAACAGAAGAAGAAATGGATTTTTCAATAGCAGGGGTGACTGCTCGGGCTAAAGCTTGTCCCGCTGAAGACAACTCCTTCTTCAATGTTCTCTCCAACATTGAAGGCAAATCCTTGTTGGTACAGTTGGTAATGAGGCTTGTCAACTGCTGCGCTCGCTCTCTTGCAGCCTTCTCATTCTTTGAAGTTTCCTCCTGAAAACGGGTCCACAAAGCATCCATGTTAGCCTTCATAGCTTTCTCCATGTTTCGGCCCAAGGCATTCTCCACCCTCTTTCCTTCTTTATTGACTGGTCCAGCAACCACTGAACTCATCTGCTTCTGCATCTCCTTTTGCATGCTCATAAACTGTAATTGAAGATCCAAAAGAAATATTATTATTAACAATATTATTATTGTTTTCACTTCTGATAATGGAGGGGTGTTGAGGTGATTAATATGTGAGTATTGTCCCACATCGGATAAGATAAGAAAGTGATAAGTTTAAATAGGAGTTTGGGTCAATAACTGATAGTTATAGCTTTTGAGTTAAAATTGATTCTTAACTTCCGTTTAAGACTCATCAACTCTAGACTAGGTCGATTTCTCCCCCAACAATAATATCAAAGCTAAGGTCATGGTCCAAGTAATTAAAAAAACAGATGATCTTCGATGTGAAGCCCGAAGGTGTCGGGAGAATCCACGGATGCCCGTAGAAGTGAAATAGTCTAGTTAGCCACCACGAGTGAAGTGGTGGAAGTTCCTACGGATGTTTGATAGTTATGTGTTAAATGCATGGTTTAGTTAGCCTACGAATGAAGTGGTGCAAAAAGTTTGTGAATTGGTTAGTCCACGAGTGAAGTGGTGCAAAACTTAGTGAATTCTGAGGAAGATTGAGTTATAGTTGAATTGAACAATACTCACAAATTAATGGAGAGTTGTTGAGGTGATTAATATGTGAGTATAGTCCCACATTGGATAAGATAAGAAAAAATGTTGAGTTTAGATAGAAGTTTGGGTTAATTCTTGATAGCTATAGCTTTTGGGTTAAAATTGATTCCCAACTTCTATTTAAGGCCCATCAACTCTAGATTTGGCCCGATTTCTCCCCCAACAAGGGGATGAGCAGCCATTTTAATGTAAAATAAAAGAGTAATGCTATTTAGATTACATTTCTTGGACCACAGTTGAATTAAAGATATAGTAACATGCAGGAATTATCTTATAAATGATCATGTGCAAAGCACAAGATTTTGAATCAGTATTTTCTCCTATGACATTTTTTTACAACTCCAATAGTAGCCTATTTAGCACTTTTCACAAAAACACACACACATACACAAACACACAGAAACACACAAATCCATTTTTTTCCAACTTCCTCCAAAACTTAATAGCAGAGAAACAGTGTGTTTCCGATATGATCTGAAAGTTATACATGGCAAGTATAAATCATAGCAACCAACTAGAAGCTGAACAAAGACAGGGTGGTAATTAACATATGTAACTAACTCAAATGAACAATCTAACCGAGTGGAATAGGTTATTTTAAATAAAAGCTTATAATACTCCTCCATGGGAATCACACCTTCTATCATGAATAATAAAAAATCAGAACAGAATTTCTCAGTTGGATATAAATATGAACTGCAGACACCAATCGTACCTGATTAAGCATTTCCTTCATAGAGTGCAGCTGTGATGAAGTTGTATCAGTTGAAAGAAGGCTTGCATTGCTCCCTGGTTCATTTAAAGATTCGGTAGAGTTAGAAGGGCTTAAAGAATGTGAGAGGGGACCTGATGCTTGAGGTTGCTTTGCTTTTTGTGCTTTCTCTTTCGTTGCCAAAGTGGATTTCGCAAGTGCACTAACAGCTTCTGTCGTCTCTAAAAAATCAGCATTTCCTTGAACTTCTTCCTCACCAGCAACCAAAGTCTGCCCCAACGTGTCGGCAACAAATGTACTATCTCCCTTGGGAGCCTCACCAACATTGCAAGTTTCTGTTGTCGGGCTTTCACTATTGACTTTGGAAGGTGAGGTGTTGAGACATTTATCCTTGTCAATTGGTGGCTCTTTCTGAGAATCAGACTGGTCATCATGAGAGAACCTACTTTCATCCACATGTTTAACTTCCATGTTTACACTCTTTGCATCATTGTTATCAACAATATCTTGAACCTTAACTTCCTCGCTCCTCAAGCCCGGACTGGGACGAGTGTTCTCTGAAGAAGAAATAGCTCCTGATAGAATTTCTGATGGAGTTACCAGGTGCGTTGTGTTGCCACCCAACTTAAACAATAAATGAGGATTTGGCACCAAGTTAATGTTATTTATTCCAGCTTTAGGTTCATCCCTTCCTGAATTATTAACAGCGGAAGGAACATTGGATGCGGTTGAAACCACAACATCAACCCGCCCTTCAAGTGGATAGTCAACTGGTTGGCTGACATCACTATTGCTACGTGAAGGTCCCTGATCAAAGCCCTTTGAAGGGTTCCTTAAGATAGAAAGCCCACCTGAAAGGTCCATATTTAAAGCAGGGGAAGGCACGATATTAACTGTCGCAGGATCTGAACTGGAAAGTGGAGGAGCAGAGGGCTTCACCTCAACATTCGATGTAGTCCGTTCATGTATAGCAGAAACGTCATAAGATACAGAGGTTACAGGAAATATGGATGTAGGTAAAGACTCGGAGCTGCTCCCAGGAAGAGAGGTTCTTGGTGATGCACTACCTACAGGATAAGCACCGCCAGAAGGTCCACGTGATAGTTGTGACACAGGAAATCCTTCTGAGATAGGCGAATCTAACATGTGACTTCCAGGATCTCTCCCCAGAAAAGCATCACCCGGGGGTGGCAAACACTGATATAAGTCAAGTGCATACTGCTGAATAGCCTGCGTCTGGACACAGTAAACTTGGACTACCTCTTCCCCATCAGGGAGGCTATCACTTGTTCCTGTAAGACTTAATATTGGCATTGTAACAGTAAAATCTGCTATACAGCCCATACGAGTTGAAGCTGGAAATGGACCATAATCCACATGGATTGCATATATAGCATTCTTCTTTGCATTGGCAAGTAGTATGAGGCTTGCTCGAGGCAATGCCACAAGCTGATTAAAAAATGCCTCCTCATGACGAGGCTCTGCAGAACTTCTCAGTTCCAAAGTCTGGATGCACTGCCATGCTTCAGAATCACTAGGCAAGAGCCAGCCTTCGTCGCTTGTGGATGTCCATATCTTTACTTCTCTATTAAGAGGGCCCTACAGAAAATAGCAGAGACGGTTAAAACAATTGCTCAGGTAGCGGTTAGCAGTCTGGCTGCAAAAAAAGCAGCAAGAAGCATCTCAGCAATACCATTGAAAAGCATTTACATGACTAAGGTTCACTTGGAGCATACCTACCATCGAACTCTATCCAAGTTTCAATGATACCTAAATATTTGTATGACATTGTGCAAAATCTATATAATTAAACGCTAGTCAAAATAGGTCCAAAACTCGTACCGCGGTGATAAGCACAATGTGATCAGGTCGGTGGGGTGAAGTCAAGAATGCAACTGAACTAACTGGCTGTCCATCATGTGGCCTCAATGTCACCAGAGGAACCGTTTTACGATCATCCCAAATCTTTACCTGTAGCGTGAAGTAAAATTTTACAACCAATAAGAGTACTACTCCATAATCCAACTAATGAACAAGCACAACATGGAGAGGAAGGGAATACACAGAAATGGATGCAAGACGAATAGGTTTTATAAAGGACATAAATCAGCTGCATAACTGGCTACCTTGTTATTCTATTTCCAAAAGATAACGAGAAAAGGAAATTTTACTTAAAGATAATGAACATCTATATTTTCCTGAAAACAAATTTGTGCAGAATCTTAACACTTCTTCAACTGAGTGTAAGAACTCAGCACTAGAAAGTTTATAGATAGACTAGAGAAGCAATTGTGCTCATGGAAACATTGTAGAAACATACTGTGGCACAGTAGTAGCACAAAGCTTTGCATTTCCATCATAATTAAAAAACCAATAGGATCTTCTGAAGTACCCTACTGAAATGGAAAAGGAAATTTTATACAGATTAATAGTTAACAGCCTATTAAGCCGCAAGTCTATTAAAGTATCCTAAATCAATAATTGGAACCACTCCATTTCATCAGAACTACGGAGTATAACTAAAACAATGAACCAGAATATCCTTTCCTGAAGGACTTTAAAAATAATAATAATAATACCTTGAGCTGAAAGAACTCGAAAAACTTCTTAAAATACAGATGCTCAACATTTTCAAAAAAGGTTAGTCCGTATCGCATGAAAAAACACCTATTAATTATACTTGTCTATCTATAGTCTATACTTTAAGAAGATGAGACATCATGCAAATGTCGAAAGGAATATAGCAATTAAGGAATTACATCACAAGCTGCATATGTAGCATGTATATTCAGTTTTCCACGCAGAAAACTGAAGAGTGAAAAGTTCATGTAAGCAATGAAAATAATAGATCTAAAAGCATATCCATGCAAGGCAGCAAATCCAAAAAAAAAAAAGGATATGCACATTAACTAATTGGACAATGATAATACACATTCAGAGCAGAGCTTCAAAATGCAGAAAAATGGAAGGGTTGCTGAGATATCAAATTAACAGTTCACTTTTTATCTTTCTATCTATATCATGTGAATAAAATTAGCAACCGCCAGATACCATAACAGAGAAAATACAAACCGTGCCATCTTTCGATGCTGAGGCTAACCGAGTCGTCATCCATTGAGATATGGACAAATCCGTCACATCCTCTTCATGTTTGCCAATAAATTGTATCCCGTCAATAGGCTTCTCAGCAGGGCATCTGAGGGGCTCATCTGCAGAAAATTCTTTGCCTCTTCCTACTCTTGTCGTGTCAATTTTTAGCACACTACTTCCAATTGCAACAATCAAAACCTCCTGCAGAAAAGTTTTTACAGAAGAAATCTTATGAGATTCCTATATAATAACACACTTATACTTTTATGGAAGACTACAATTCTTGCAATCAGTATTTGGAGTTACAAAAAAGTTTATATGCTATAAAATAGAGAAACGATATCTCAAAGACAACAGATGAATGTGACATTACTTGTTTATGGGAGTGCCAGCAGATCCGTGGGTGATACGGTTCACCATCTCCACCTATCTGAACAGCAACAATGATTTTTCCAGTTATCTGAGGCTTGTTCTCTTCATCAGGCCCCTCATTAATTTTCCAAACAATGACCTTCCCGTCTACACTCGCGCTACACATGCCGGAAATCAGAAATAAACATTGTTAACAAAAGATCGCTTAACCAAAAAGTCAATACATCACAAAAAAAGGAAAGAAAAAAGATTAAAAAATACCTAGCTAAAAGGTGAACATCTTCTGCAAAGAAAGCCATGTCTGTAACTTTCTGGCAAAGAACAAATGTAAACAAGGACAATTGAACTTGTCAAAAAGAAACCTTGACATCTGTAATTCAAAATTACAAAGCATGTGTGTACCAAGAAATGAACCACAGAATACCAGAAAACCTTGACTCAAAGTAAAACTTATATTTTTGAGCAGGTATTCCTGTTAGGAGTTATTTTCAACAAAGGAGCAAGTCCTTTAATAGAAAACTAATGAATCATTGAGCTTATTTAAAAAGAACGACTCAGCATACACACAATTGTAGCGGAAAAGTGTTCTAACCAAAAAAAATTTTAATGTTTCGCATTTGACTAATTCCTATGGCATACAAGTTTGTAAAGGGACTGTTTAAACTTGAATTTCCGTTTCTAGGTGAAAATTAATAGGTAGTGACAGATTAATAGGGAGAAAAAAATTAGACGAGTAAAGTAATTACTGAGAGCACATGATATCATAACCCCGAAGGAATTCATCACACATTTAATTTTACTAACTTGAAGATAAGCTTATAGTTACGGACCTCATGGCTAAAGCTTAAAGCTGAGTACGAGGAACAAGGATATGGAAAGGGCTCAAGGAATTGACATTAAACTCATACAATTTAGGTAAAGCCAACCGATAAGAACAAGTCAAGATGGAATAACAACTAAGGCACAGTTGCAGAGAGAGGTTTACTATCTACAAGAAATAATGGTATTGAATTCATATATGTACTTACAGTTAAACCTAAAAGGGGGTCTCCTCCCAAATTGAATTTACACACACACGCGCACACACACAAAGTCCACAATTGTAAACATGTTCATATTACGGACTCCTCTAGCTGGCACTATGAATCTTAATACAAAAAGGCAATGAATTGTTTTGCTAATTTCCATTTCAACTAATAAATGTTGGAGCTCTTTCTAATTTAAACACAAAAGTTATCATGCTTATGTCATGAAACGACTTCACCAAAAAGCTTAAGCTCATGGGTATGAGCCAATGTAAATATAGCAAATTTATCACTTTTTAAGACTACCACTTATGTGGGCCTTAGATCTATATGGAAAGGCTTTATCTCAAGGTAAAGTGGAACAAATGGGGGCAAAACATACTTTAAATTATCAATATGAAAGTTAAGAGCAAGATCTAGGGTTGTAGGCAAAATGCATATGGAGCAAATTGCCCAATATATTGATCCAAATCTAAAATATTATTCATTACCAGGATCTGCTATGATATCTAACAATACAGAAGCAAAAATCTAATTTTGTACCCGGCATATCTTATCCGACTTTGGAAAATATTAAAATCCACCAGAATCTCGAACAACACAAAAGGGATTCTAAAATTGAAAAAGGTTCTATTAGGAACTCAATGAAAAGTGACACATAAAATACGAAATTCAAAGAGGAAGTTTTACTAAACTACAAAGAAGCAATGATATGTTGCTTGTATATATAAACATAAATGCAATAGTAATAGTATATGAATAACATATATTAATTAACTATAAATATATTGGATATAAATGGAACGTACACTCCATACACCATAATTTTATCAGAATATTAACATTTATCATGCATATTTAATTAAACAGATGCAAATGCAAACTAATCTCAAATATATTAAATATTTACTAACACTGACCAACATATTTTGAAAACGGAAAACCTATTGCTTTAATAACATCACAGATAAACATTTACCCAAAATTGTAAAACTTATGAGATTTCGGCTAGCAATGCATATTAAGCAAGCTTAGCATGTACCAATCTACAACATGAAAACCCTAAAACCATGATGGTGCACCTTCACACATGATTCATCCATATCCCTTATGCTCCCTGGCTACCTGCTTTCACCACAATGCAGAAACCAATATGCCAACTAAATTCGAGTAAACCACTAAAACTCGCAAATCATAACTCCATTGGGTAGGCAACAGTTTCTCGGTCCCAGGCTCTTCCTATCTTCTTGATATCTGATTTGTTGAAAGAATATGAGCACTTTGGAGGATGAAGCAGGCTCCATATTTTTGTATATATTCTGATCATCCTGGTATTCCCTGGCATCTCGACTCTTAGAAAGAGACTGGCTCCACAGAGCCAGCACACATCAGGAAAACCTTAAGGACCTACAGGACTCCTACAGGAGTAACAGGACCGATGCTGTTAGCTTCACTTACACAACCCTTATCAACGGAATTATGACTAGCAACTTAAGATCATAGATGTTACCAACTCGTGCACAAATGACTACGCACATGACAAATCAAAAGACAATCTTATAACACGTAAAAAGCTTAATTTATACACCTGAAAAATTAAATATAGTAAATCACCGGGAAAATACAGATGACAAGCATAAATTAAAAATCAAGAAAACCATTTTTCCTGCCATATATAAGATGGTCAACATCTAATAAACAATAATCTAAAACCATAACGGGAGTCATTTATCTTAGAAATGTAGTCTTAGCATCTCTCCAGAATCCTGAATATAAAGATCCCTTTACAAATCGAACTGTGAGATAGCTTATATCACGAAAAAGCTAAAGCACAAAATCAACATCAAGCAATTAGACATGTCACATGATTAGTATCATTTTCACCCTTCTTCCAAAATTTTGGCTTGTGCAGTCACTAAGTTAATGTTCTCTTACCTAACAAGACCCTAGTTGGCCATGGTTTTTCTTGGATAGGTATTGGCAATCATGTGTGGAATTGACCACTAAGTTTTCATCAAATCCTAGACAAATATTTCTCAACATAATTGTGTCATGGTGCAACATATTTTGAAGCCAAAGACTAATGATTTTGGTGACGAAATTGACCAAAACAACCAAACAACTAAGATCAACCAAAGAGCATCAAAATCTTAAAAGCCTTAGCAGAGCCGCTACAAATTGTTTGTTCTCCATACCAATGTAGTGAACGAATAAAAGGGAGCAAATTTTCTACATACCAATATATTTTACAGCCAGAAAGCATGAAATTTTTAAAAGGCTTAGCAGAGCCAAAGGAATTTATAAGACTTCTCATAAAGTGAATGACTAAACGGGAGTAAAATCTCTTCATACCAATAGATTTTTACAAAAATTTATTCTAAACATGCATATGCTAATATATGCAGAAGCTTTAGCAAGAGTATGTGACATGTTTGTCACAAGTAAAGCTCAAAGCTTGAAAGGAGTCTTGTAGGTCAAATTTCACCAACACAACATCTCAATTTTCTTCGACTCTACCATCCCCCGAAACCTCTTACTCTGTGATTGAGATACATTCACTCTCTCTACCAAGACATTTTCTTAACTTTGAAATCATAGGAATGCAGTAACTAAAGCAGGACCTTTCACAATATACATACACTCAGGGTCACACGCAAACTAACAACAATATATACTTAGTAAAACGACATGATACTACAAACAGTCATAATTCTAAACAAACTTTATTGCACAAAACTAACACCAGACTCCTAACTAAACACCTAGATCCCAAAACAACACGCCCAAAGACCAACTTACAATAAAATGTGTGTGCAGGGCAAGCTTACAAGCAATATACAAAATAAGAATTTCTGCTAAAGGTCACTATGAATGTCAATCCAAAAGCCTCACGCGGTGGATAGAAGAGTTTTGTACCATCCTCATGCAAACATAGAGCTTAAACAATTTCATACTCTACAACAATCTTCAAAATGGAGATTCAAGCCCAACCTGCCAAACTTTTGGCATCCCAACATCATCAACACCATGCCATCACAAATTCATATCAAGTAGTTTGGCCTATGAATGCAACTTCACATTGAGGAGACTCAACGAGAACTTAAAAATTATACACCAAGCTACCAGTCAAATCCATATTCAATAAAATAACAGACAGTAGAGGAGCATCCCACAAGAGATAGTAGGCTGTTGGCACGTAAGATCACAACCTAACTGGTCATACAATAAAACTCTTACGCCCAAGGCGCAAGGAGCTCTATGCCTCTATCACAAATAACAAAAAAAGGGTGAAAAAAAGGGTATTCTAACCTCGATACACCATCCATATCAGCATTAAGACCACAAATCATTAGAGGATGATTATAGTTAACTACTAAGAGTACACAACATGATGAACAACACAAAAAACTAGCAACTACAATAGATTATATCTGCTCGTTCACATCTTGCACTTGTTCAAAAGACCTGTGCCAGATGAACCACACCAAACAAATCACGACGAACTATACAACGTGGAATACTAACAAGAGTACATCCTAATGTTAACCTGTAATTTAACAAACTAGGCTAAGTTTTTAATGTCAAAAACTAGCTCCACAACATGAAGCATTTAGCACCCAAATAAAATTCTTCTACCTCCAAACAAAATTAATGAAACAATCAAAGTAATGAAATTAGAATAACAATATGTGCATTACGCGTTAAAGGAAAATAAAATTCACCTGAGAATGCCCTCTCAATAGGGATCTCAACGCTGTGTTGATATTCAAAATCCTAATCGGCCCCAATTTCAACCCGTAACAAATATACGTCCGATTCACAGCGATCTGGCGACCAAGAACCAATCCTGGATCAGAAACATACTTTGTAATCGGAGTAACCTCAAGCTGAGGAGGCTTTGATTCCCCCATGAACCTCGAATCGACATCAAGAACCGCTCTATCTCCAGTCCCAAGCAATCGACCCCTCGGCATCTTGCTGCTGGCGACCCTCCCATGGCGACCGGCGGGGCCGAGGCGCCGTCTGCGGAATTGGCGGAACTCGGAGGTGGCTACGGCCGCCGCCGCCGCCGGCGGCAATCGAGGGTGAGGCCATTCGATGTGTGAGACGGGAGTGCTCCCGAGGAGTGCCATTAGCCGAGCGCCATGGGTAGAGTTAGGGTTAGGGTTTGGGGTAAGAGGGGATTGGGGATGCTGCATGAAGTGATGAGGGTTGAAAGGGGGAGTTTGATGAGGGTAAGAGTAAGGGCCTGAAGGAGGCGGTGAATAGAAATTAGGGTTAGGGTTTGGAGAGTTGAGATTGTTAGGGATAGGGTTTGAGGGGAGGGGCTTGAAGAGCTTCTGCATGTCGAATTAGGGTTACCAGAGGGGGACGCCATGGAAGAAGGAGGAGGAGGAAGAGGGGAGATTAGGGTTAGGGTTCTGCTACCGTGCGCCGGCGCAGGAGATCCGAGGGAAGAAGAGAGAGCTAAAGATGAGCGAGGGAAGTGGGGGCAGCGGAGGTGGAAATTGGGGAGCGTAGTACAGAATGGGTTGATTACTTGATTATAATAATAATAATTATGATGAATAAATGTAATAATAATTTGCGATAATTTTTGCTGAAAAGTGCGCGCGCGCGTACACATGTTGACGATCTGTGGAACAGCAGACCTCATTTCCTTCGGCACTCTACTCACCCGGCACGCATCCTGATTTGGACTTTACCAATATCACTAATAAGACATACGTGATCATTACTCATAAGCACGACTCATGTTGATGATTTAACTTTTCAAATAAAAATTATTCAGAGAATCCTCCAACCAAGCCCTAAGCTAAATCTGGCTCTGATACCACTTATTGTGCACAGCAGAACTCAAAACACACGAAAAAACACGAATAAGAACGAGATAGACCACAACCAAACGAATAAACACAAACCACAGCAAGACAAACGGGTTTTACGTGGTTCGGTAAGTTACGTCCACGGGGCAAGGAGGGGGGAGTTTTTACTATTAGAGATAAAGAGAATACAAATAGGGTTTACAATCTCACCAAAAAAAACCCTCAAACAAAGCTCTCAAAATCTCTCACAAATTATCCCTCAAAGGATGCACAATTCTCTCTCAAAAGATGCTCAAAGTCATCCTTAATTAACTCTAATAATCATGATTATGGTTATATATCAACACAAAATAAAACGGGTCAGAAAACATAACCCAGACTCAAACCCGACTGGCGGTCGACCGTCGAATTCATCGCGGTCGACCACCCAGGAATCGACGGAAACATAAATCGACTACAGGGTTTGACGGTCGACCGCGATGGTCGACCGTTCCCTGACG